TAAGCCATTGCATAGTATAATTTAAAAGGTGAATAAAGAAGTTTGGATATATAATCTGTTTGTGTTATAATCCCTTGGTGTCCACAGGACCCCTAGACACTTATTATCACGTATGCCTCCAGCTGGCTTTGGCTATTTGCCTCACAGCACCTGAGAACCGCTTCCACACACACTTGTGACATTACTGCAAACCGTGCTAGTTTGTGTGACTTTGCCCCTCAGCCTTGTCAAATTGTGTCTGTTTTATGTACTCGTGTCCTGTCTTCACACACAGGAATGACTCTGAACTCCATAAAGTCTTTCAGCCTGGAGCTGGACGGTCCGGCTGATGCGGCGTTCACTGGAGGGGAGGTGGTGTCCGGCCAGGTGGTCCTGGAGCTCCGCAGGGACACCAGAGTGCACTCCATGAAGGTGCAGGGAAGAGGGGTGGCCACGGCACACTGGCTGGAGAACCGCGGCATGAACTCGGTCTACAACGACTACACCTCCAAGATCACGTACTTCAAGAAGAGACAGCATCTGATCCGAGGTCAGTGGTGAAAGCTGCGTGTGACCCTAGTTCCCTGAAGTGAGCAATATTATGCTGATTCAGGGTTTAATAATCAATCCGACTGTAGTAATAATAAGTGCAACCCGTTTGAATTATAGTTGCAGCTGATCAGATTGCTTATCACAAGTTTGTCATGATTCTCTTGCTACACAACATGCTCTGATTCTGGATTGCTGTATAGTGTTTTGCGAGTAAGAAGGGGTTGAATTTTTAACCAAAGGCCTCCTTAGTTATTTAACAAAATAAAAGTCTTTTAATGGTGCCTATTCAGTGAACAGACTTAAACAGGGACTGATCAGCGAGTTCGTTTGTAGAGCACAGACCAAACCGTTCACTATGACTGTTTGAAAAAGCAGAAAAAAAACACCTGCACTTCTATTCAGAGATATTTATATCATCTGTCCCCGTCTTTTTGTAGTTGTTCTTTTCTCTTTCTTTTGTCCCCCACTTAAAATAAAATGTGTGATAAATGAACCCAGCGACTTGCATTTCAGTATGTTTTGCTGCCGTTGGAGGAAAAAGTTCCCTCTCTGTTGTGAATAATGTGGTGAAAAACTGCTGATCTGCCAGCTGGTAGCCGCTGTGTCTTGTAGTCGCTGCGGTTTGCAAAATGAAGCCACCTGGGCCAAATGTGTTGCATGGAAACCTGGGAGAGAGTCTAGATAGATCGGCCAGATAACGCAGTCTTGACATTAAACACAAATCCATTAGTGCCGAGTCCAAATATACACGACTGGTTCGCTGCCGTGTTGTGCTGTACAGGACGTAACGCTGTCAAAGTATTCCCCCAGAGTGGACGGTACCAGGCAGGTTAAAGTCAGAGAAAATATAGGCCATGGTAGGCGAGTAAATATACTGTAGACACTAGTTAATGTTTCATTAGATGGTCTGTAAACATTATTGTTGCTTTGACTGCCCATGATGGTCCGACAGGTAGATGCCACATGTGGAGACTGAGATAACAGCAGAATGTGAGCTGTTGTTGTTGTTTTTGTTTTTTTGGCAGACAACAGTCAAAACCAGTTACAAGGAAGTGGATTTTAAAAATGCCATTTCCTGCTGCATGTTGGTATTAAAATGCAGCCTGTGTCCAGCCTAATGTTAAAATACGACAACGTAACCCATTCATTTAGATGCTGAACTTTAAAGGTGGCAACAAACAAATACTTCTAATGAGTCATTTACCATATTTTTTTATATTTATTGTTTAGACTTTACAATATTGGTACAATACAATTAACCAGAGCCTGAGCTGATATTTTCCAAACACCAAAGATCAACATTGCATTAGTGTACTAATCAATGTAATGTTGACTGACTAATTGTTTCAGTGCTGCTGTTGCTCGGTCCCGTTTAAAAATGATCAATATGTTATTAAAACTGATGTCGGTGTTGAGACTGATGAGAGGACTGACACAGAGCAGAAATTCCTCTCATTACAAACCTGCAGTAAATGCACCATAAATACACAATTTGTATGCTGTAGCTAATGTTGCTTAATGGTTTTGCTTTATGGCAGATTTATTGGCTGTATGGGATTTAGATTTGACTTTTGTTTTAAATCCTCAGATTCGTGTTTAGTTTTCTGGATTAACCAAAAAATGACATTTGTGTCTGGTTATTTTGCTCATGAACAATTTCTAAGTTCCATAAAAATGTATCGCAATAATATTTGATGTAATATAAGACCTATCCACATCCCCCATCAATAATGAAAATGATATGTCATTTCTCATCAGTTTAGATCCACTGCTTTGCCAAATGCTGCTTCAACTACAGATTACTACAACTGAGATATAAAATTCCATGCAACTATATGGTTTAACTTAATAATAATTTAATTAAATGTTAATAATTAAAATGAATACTATAGAAGTGTGTTTGACTTTATACACAGAGGACCTTACTTTGTTTTCTAGGCTTTAGACAACTACTTTTACTGCCCTGCCGTCAGTAAATGGGTACTTTGGCCTTTAAACGCCTCTCAGGCCGACATTCTTTATATACTAATGTTATCTGCAGAATCTGTCCAGGAAATAACAGTGCTGTTTTTGTAAAGCCTTAACCTGCTGACATACTTCCCAAATCCTTCCATGAACAGAACATTTTGTTTTCCTGTGACTTTGTAATTTTGCTCAATTGGCCCCAAACAGAGCAGGAAATGTGAACGTCAAAATGCAGAAGTAAGGATGTTGTTTGGGGGTTTTACATAGTTGGGAGCAGCAGCAGCAAGAAATGAAGGAGAAAGTGAAAGACGGAGGAGAAAGGAAGGAAGGAGGAAGGGGTGGGGGGCTGTTTTAAAAAAATACAGCCTGGGTCACCATGGCAACGAGGAAAACAACACGTGGCTCTCCTTGGCTCCGCCCACCTGCAGCCAGCAGCTGCTCTCCATTCATTCTGCTGTGCTGCTGTGTGCCATTTTTCTGCTCATTTATCATTTAGTTTTTCAGAAACAGAATGTTCTGTGAATGACTTTTTCCCTCTTGAACCACAGCCGTGTTTCTGAGGGCTGGTCTGGTTTCATCGGGGAGCTTTGGTTGCGTTTTAGGAGCTCATGCATATTTAGAAGTTGTCAGTTTCAGAATCATAATTCCTCAGGCCCTGTTTTCTTTTCTTCGCTCTCATGCATGTGATGATTCAGTGTGAATGTTTGTCTTACAGCTCTGTGTACTCAGCAGCTTTTTGGCTAAACAAAGAGACGCTCACAAGGATAAATATGTTTGCTTTAGTGTGCAGCAGGGCTCGATGTGTTTTCAGCCACAGTTGGGGTAATCATGCAGAGTCATCTGCACAGTGGGAGTGATTATCTGGCAGGTCATTATGTGCAGAGAACCACATGGTCTTATCAGTGTGGATGCAGGGAGTCCTGGTAGAGCTCCTGAGCACCAGCAGGTGGCGAGCTGTGCTTCGTTTCTCCTCAGAACACAACTTCTTGAATGTATTTTAAGCAAACACTGACAAATTGATGCAAAGTGGTTCACTGAAATCTCAACTATGACAAGATCCCTGATTATTGTAAGAATGTAGAAAAGAGTTCATGCAAGATGCTGCAGTGCTTTCTGACGTTACGCTCATCAGCAGGGAGAGACTTTAAGGTGAGCCTCGGCTGGACAGATGTCCCTCTGCTTCGCCTTTCTGAGCTACATCTGCCCTGACTTTTACAACTTTTCCTTTCCATTCATGAACATCTCCAGCTCAGTACAAGCTGCAACAGCATCCTGTTTATCCTGCAGCTGTCTGCACTAGTTGCTTGGCTCACCAGTTGGTGGCAGTGGAGAGCCGACTCCTCATCCTGAGGAACAAAGGCGTAAACAACTTTGTTTTTCACAGAGCAGACTTGATTTTTTTCCTGGAAGCTCTTGAATTGAATGAAGACATCCAGCTAGCACAGCTTAGAAAGGAAGCAGAGATCGGATAGTTTATTGACTGGAGTTTTGAAAAACACTCCTGGCTTTGTTTGGACACATTGGAACTGAATTAAATGTGTGAGAAAACTCTGCAAATGGATGATATGATTCTTGCAGACGTTGCCTTTGTTCACCAGCGTGCAGTTTTCCTGTGATGTCTCGAAGGTGTTGCTTTATTCCTGAAAGCAGAACGACTGGTTGTTTTTCATGAGGGGATTTGTTGGAGTGAGTTGCACATTTCTGTGCATAACTGAGTGTTTTTCATGTGTGGCTGTGTCACAGTATGTTCAAAGCGACATGGAAGAAGCGGCGCAAACAGCTTTGGTCCAGAATAAAACTATTTTCCCCTGAGCTGTGCAGGGAGGACCTCTACCAGACTGAGGCATGCTCAGTACGCCTGTTTTCTTCTAAGAACCTGTAACCATCAATCATCAGCAGGCCCTGTTTTCCTCTCTGCTGCCTCCACACCCAGTCTGCGTGTTTATGATGCTGCCTTCAGGGTCGGTCTGGAAATACGGGCGCTGCACACTAGTAGCAAAACAAAGTGGTAAATAAAGTTTAGCCACTCTGAATTTTACACGATATGCCAGCCGAAATGTGCAGAATGGGTTTTTTTTTCTTTTAGTTTGCCTCTGTGGTTGCAGTATTTTGCTCATCCACACATCATGATCTGGGAGCATTTGTCCAGACATGCTGGGATGTGTTTGTCCAGCTGTAGTGAGATGTAAGCTTGTAAATGTGCAAAGAAAGAAAAAGAAGATGTGAATATTTAAAGCTGCGGGGTGCAATAAAACAGTAGCAACCACCAAAAAATACAAATAAAATAAAATCGTCTTGAAACCCTTTGTGGTACGTTTTATTAATTTTAAGCGAACAAAGGAGCAGCTGCAGGCTACAGGTTACGTGTTATTTACCACTGAAGCGCTAAAACGTCGGTGCCAGGCGGGAGTCCGTGAAGGCAGCGTCGCCCAGCCTTCAACCCTCTCCTGAGGGCTTACATAATAAATGCACAAACACCGCCCACTTTCTCAGCCTGCAAATAGGGCCGCCCTCCCAAAGCGCTCAACAGTTTGGAGCTTTAAACAACAGAGCAGAAGTTCTCTGCAAACCTCAGGATCCTCTGCAGCTCACTTCTAACAGGACTGCAAAAGACAAACACTTCCTAAGAGGACTTGCAGAAAGAAAAAGATGATTTTCGACAAGTTGAAAAAGTTTGACATCGTCTTCGACTCCCCGGAGGTGGACTGTCCTCCGGTGTTCAGCAGCAGCGACGTGGTGTCCGGCCGGGTGGTGCTGGAGCTGACCGGGGAGAGCCGGGTGGACTCCCTCAAGCTCCACGCCGAAGGGTTCGCCAAAGTGCACTGGACCGAGTCCCGGTCCGCCGGATCCAGCACCGCCTACACCCAGAACTACAGCGACGAAGTGGAGTACCTGAACCGCAGAGAGGTGCTGCTGCAGGCAGGTCAGTCAGTCAGTCATCAGGCAGCGTGCAGGCTCCAGCACTGTGTCTGTAAAACTTTAGTCAAAGCTGGAAAGAAAAAAACAAAAACGTCTCCTCATTGACCAGACGACGATCCACAGAGACAATAGTGAAAGTGGTTCATCCGTCTGGGGGACACTGGGCGAGTTGTTTGTCTGCAAACAGGGGAATAGTGTTGTTTTCATGATGTGAGAGTTAAATGGATGATGAAAGCAGTCCTGCTCTCTCTGCTTGTGTAAAAGTCTTATGAAGTGTTTCTGGAAGTGCAACCTCCCGTACTTGTTTTTCTCACTTGCAGGTTTAGAAACTTGTTCCTGCTTCACATGCACAAAAAACAAAATCCACTGAAGCTTTTAAAACATGCTGAATGAAAGAAAAGTCTGATTTGAGGGGACTTTACTTGATCCACATAATTTCAGGGGATTTTCACTTTTACTTGCTTTTGCCTTGTTTTCACTTTTACTTGCTCCAGATCCAGATTTACAAAACAAGCTTCCAGACATCTAGTCATTCATTTGTCTGTTAGTTTTGCTCTTAGCTTGACATTGAATGCAAGTCTAGCATTCTGCAGCAGCTGTGTGGGAAAACAGTCCTGACTCCAGACTTTCTTTTCCTCGTTCCAAGCAAATCCTGAGTTGTTTTTCTCCTCCGCCGTGTGACGTAGCCTCGGGTTTCTGCCTTCATTCATTGGGGCCACAGAGCTGTTTTGGTTTAAAGCACAGACAGGAAATTCACAGTCGGGCCTTTTGTCGATTCTGTGTTGTTTTCCTGCTCAGTTCAGTTTGTCTGCTTGAAAACCCATGTGCAGCCAGCAGCCTAAAAACTCACGGCTTGATGAGTGTCAGTTTAATGTTTAAGTATGGTTTGTGCACTAAAAAGATTTGCTCATTCCAACCCGCTTGACCGGTGAAGGGAGTCTGACAGTGGCAGTATTGTTATTTAAATGTAACAGGAGAGTCCAGCTAACAAAAGCACACAAAACAAATGGAGTCTGTTAAACGCAAACACGTGTTCCTGGACCTGCGCGAGCAAGACAGTGAGGGGGAAAAAAACAGAGCAGCACAGACGGGCTGTAGAATATAGCTTGAGGAAAACATGTTCTCAGTCAGCACAATGGAGCAGGAACCGCCCCTCTGAGCGAGCACTGAAACCATGTGATTGCAGAGAAAGACAGAGAGATTTTTATTTCGGCAAGAGTCGTGTGTGAAAGATCTGCTCTAAAGAACACTAAAGTTTCTTAAGTTTGCAGCAGCTTTGTCAGTACTTGTTTTCCTCATTCACAAATAGAAATTGGCTGCCATTCATTTGTAGAAAGCGTTGCACACAGAATCAGACACTGACTCACTGCAGAGATTAGGAAACTGATAGGGCATTGTGCTGAACTGCTTACTTTATATCAGTGTTATATAACTTAATGCTCTTATTCCTGATAATTATCTGACATCACCACAAATACACCGGTCATCTGTGGCATTTACACTCGCTGCCCTGTGCTTTTAGAAACCAAACAACAATTGTAACCTTGGAAAGCTTGGAAAACCTTGATAAACCTGTAACTTAAACTTCAATATTTTTTTTTTCTCTCCTCCCTTCAGATAACGGTGAAGTGACGGTTCTACCTGCAGGCAGACATGAGTTTCCGTTCAGCTTCCAGCTGCCAGAAGAGACGCTGGTCACCTCCTTCGAGGGGAAACATGGCAGCATCCGTTACTGGGTCAAAGTTAAGCTACACAGGCCGTGGGCCACCGTTAAGAAAATCAAGAAGGAGTTTACAGTCATTGAGCCCATCGACATCAACACACCAGCTTTATTGGTGAGCAGCTCAGCCCTCACGTCTCATGATTGTGTTGTTACACTCGTCATGATTTTCTGGATGTTTTGAGGCCTTTGCTCATTCGGTGTGATGATCTGCAGGCGCCGCAGGCTGGTACGAAGGATAAGATGGCACGGGCATGGTACCGCAACTTTGGACAGGTGTCTGTAACCGCAAAGATCGACCGCAAAGGCTACACACCAGGTGAGACTCCAGCGCTTCCTCTATAAACACAATCTTTTTTGGCCTTTTTAAAGAAATGTCTGCATTTCTTAACGTGCTTTCTCACTTCTTCACAGGTGAGGTGATCCCTGTCTTCGCCGAGTTCGACAACTCTACCTCCAGGTCAATTGTGCCCAAAGCTTACATCACCCAGACGCAGACGTTCATCGCCCGCGGCACCATGAAGCAGAAGCGCTCGGTGGTGGCCACGCTGTGCGGCGACATTGTGGGCGCCAAATGTCGGGAGACCTGGCACGGTCGCGCCATCAAGATCCCACCTGTGGGTCCATCCATCGTGCAGTGTCGCATCATCAAAGTGGAGTACATGCTCAAGGTGAGCTCACTCAGCAGCTGCTTTGTTCATGCATTTAGATTTCCTCTTTCCACGCACACTGCTTCTGTTTCTAAATCTGCGCTTGGCACAAATGTCACGGAAAGTTCTCCTTCTTTACTCCCACCAGGTTTGCGTTGATGTTCCCGGAACATCCAAGCTGTGTCTGGAGCTGCCACTCGTCATCGGCACCATCCCCCTCCATCCCTTCGGCAGCCGGACCTCCAGTGTCAGCAGCCAGTACAGCGTCAACCTGGAGTGGCTGCGCATGGCCATCCCCGAGCAGCCTGAGCGTAAGTGTCCTGTAACGCTGCAGGGACTAGACTGTTACTTATAGCACAAACAAAGCAGGAGCAGCTGCCAGCATATTTTACAAGAGGAAAAATCCAGCACACTGACAGACTTGGAGAATACATATAAATTCAGAAACTGCTTTTGTTTTTGTGCCTGTTGCCTCGTATGCTTTTTATAGTCGCTGACTGCCAAATGCTGCATGGGTCAGATGCCAAAGTGTATAAACAAACAAAGGTTTTGATTCAGCAGAGATTCATGTTGGATGAAATCAGTGTTTGTTAGCGCAAAAGGCACTAAATGTTATTCAGGCTTTTAAGAGTTTTAACTGCAGTGATGACTCAGCTGCTTAGTGTTTGGACCTGCACTCTTTTGTTGAGTCAGACCAGACCAGCGGACTAATCCTGCCTCTTTCCCTGCAGCTCCTCCAGATTACAGCTCTGTTGTGACAGAGGAGGAGGCCGAGCAGCGCAACAATGCGGCGGTCCCACAGCAGGCCGAAGACCTAAGTGGGATCCTGGAGCGACCCCTCATGGCTTTTGTCCAAGAGTTTCGCTTCCGACCTCCACCAGTGTACAGCGAGGTGAGTCGCCGAATGCTGGGAACAACACCCACCTGCACCTAGTGTTCACCGACTTTGATTGGCACTTGTAGAAGCTTACAAAGATCTGTTTGTGTGGAGATACATTTTCAAATACGCTAAGATCGTTTCCCCTGCAGAAGAAACCCTTGAGCTCACAGCTGAGTTGTATAACCGTAGCTGCATGAAAACAAATATGAACCGTAGGCAGATTGTAGGCTGAGTGTGAAACTGCTTACTTAACCTCCTTGTTTCTTGCCTACAGATTGACCCCAACCCTCAGCCCATCAACATGAGACCTCGCTGCATGACGTGTTGAACCATGAGCCCTGCCTGAGTGTCAAGCAGCTTAGTTACTGAAACAAATCAAGAGATTTGTCTTCTCCTGGATTACTTCTCTCTGATCCCTGGTCCCAACCAGTGTTGTGGAGATGGACTGGAGCGCCTCAGAGAGGTCAGGAGACGGAGCTCACAGGAACTGGATGTTAGTGGAGGAGCTGCCACTTGGTTTCCAGTCCAGTAAAGTGGAAACTTTCCTGTTCTGTTGAGAGAGAGAAGCAACTTCTCTGCATCAGTTCCTGTCCTCCCCAAGTGATTTTTTGGCTCCCGGTGAGGCGAGCTACAAATACCTCCCAATCAATGATTCCCTCGTTTGAAGACGTTTTTGAGATTTAAGGAGACGGGACATTTTGGGGGGGTTGAGATCACTTGATATTTATCAGGTGGACAGTTGGAGTTGTACCTGGTGTTCAAATGTTTGAAAAAAAACAAAAGCGCTCTTGATAAGTTGACATGTTTAGAAGCACATTGTCGTCTTTGAGTGGCGTGAAGACAGAAGTGCAATTATTGTCCTCAGATTTGAACTTCCCTTTGCCTAGCAACACAACAACTTCCACTGCTATGCATTGTGTGAGTCAACTGCAGTGTGCCTGAGATGATTTCTACTGTTACTGAAGCACATACTGTATGTAAAGGTGTGATGGTGGAACAGAAATAAGAACATGTAGATGTATTTTATGCATGCAGGTAACAATATGTAAAAGGGAAAATATGTATGCCTTAATTATATGCAGTTGAGGATTGCATGAGAGTTTCAGGGAGTTGTTCTCTCGGAGAGCTGGATAGAGCTGAATGTATTGTGAAAGAACTTAGAACAAAAACGGTTGGATTGTATGTGGATAAATTCCAAGAGCTGTGTTGTTTTAATGCGTGGCTCAAGGCACTGAAGCGTAAGATAGCTGTGGTAGTCGACTTCAGTGATAAAATAGGATGTTGCAGTTTGCTTCTAAAACTGCACGAAGCTCATAGATCAGCTCTCCCAGCTGCTAAACAAGAGGAGGAGGGGAGGAGATGGAGACCCCTGAGCCATGTGGACTGTGATGGGAGCCAGATGCCTCGGTGCTGTGGGGTCGAGCCTAAAGCTGGAGGTGCCACTGAAATGTAGGGACAAAGAACATTCCAAAAACTGACTCGTGGATTATGTTTTCTCCTCAACTTCCAAAAAAGACTGTCAGGAGTATCAGAGAAGTCTTCAGGGTCAGCTGTGCAACTTCAGTGGCAACGCACTGAAAAAAACGAATGTATTTTTATACAAATGCAATTGTTGATTCACAATCTTGCCAAAGTTTTGTAATTGTCTTTTGTAATAAATACAAAAAAAATATGGATGTTTGTTTTCGGTGTTTCCTTCAAAGTTGACTAATATGTCAGCTGTTCGCTTTGTCATGGAAATAATGGAGGGCCTCTGTGTGGCATGTTGCGTGCCAGTGGATTGGTACATCATGTTCAACAGTGTGAGTCAAAACTAAATTACTGCCAAGGGCAGGGTTCAGTGGAGAAACATGCTACAGTCAGTGGATGAAAATTATAATTACAGACTCAAGTTTTTCCTGTGACAGTTCTAATGCTGTGCTCTTATGCAGTCAAGCTTTCCGGGTGGTTTTGCTGCTGCTGCTGCTGCTGCTGCTGAAAAAAAAAAAAAAGAAGAAGCCAGAGTCAAAACGTTATTGTTTCAACTCACCACGAAACTATCTGTCACACTGAGTACAGCTGATATATGGATTTCAACTACAATCCACTTGTACAGTTTGTACTTTGTTTACATGAATATTGAGAGAGGAGCCCGGTTATTTTTTGCAACATGTAAACACATAACACATAAGAACAAACAAGCAGCTCAGTGAATTATACAAACTGTTACACAAAGCTATACACATGGCCGAAAGCCAAGCTGAAGAAATTCTCTGGGGTTTATTCAGCAAACTGTTGAAGCAGGAGGGCAGATGGATGCTCAGAGCAGTGTGGAGGCAGGATACTGGCTGATGATGAAAAGCTTCAAGCAGAAGTATGTAACATGTCTACAGTTTCTACCGTTATGCTGAGTTTGTCAGAATGTCGGAACAAACCTGCAGATGAAACGGTGAATAAATTTAGATTTTGGACTGAAAATGAGCTCTAGGTGCAGCACCGATCTTAATTAAACCAAATGATTATATGATAAGTGACCAAGAGGCCAGACAGAGCAGTAAATGGAGCTGTGTGGACAGAAAGTGTTTATTCTCCTCAGATTATTTCAAAGCACTGCAGTGACAGAGAGCTCAGGAAATAAGAGAAAGGCACACACTTACGCAACATATTCATGTGTGTTATTAACAGTACTTGATGTGTGATGTTATCAGTGCTTCATAAACTTCAAAACAGGAACTAACGGGGGTCATATTTGTCCGCTGACCTCTGGCTTAGATAGTGAAGGAACACAGTCTGATGTCAGCTTTGGACATGAATACTCAGCTCTTACTTACACTGTACATTCTGATCCAGTGGTTGGTTGGAATTACCTCTGCCTGGTTTACACAAGGGCGGGCAGTTTAGCCGAGAATCTCAGCCCGTGTAACCTCAGACATGGTCTTCTCGCTCCAATTAAACCCACTAAATTCACAGCTTTCAACCGGAGGCTGATTCTCCCAGTATTTCATGAATGATTCTGATCTAATGAAGCCAAAGAAACAAAACACAAGATGCAGAATATCTCCCTTTAGATGTTATTTAAACATTTACAACAAAAAAAACCCCAACATATTATTGTTTTACAAGAAACTAACAAAAAAAAACTTGGAAAAACTTGCCGATGAATGCTAAATCCAACCACAAACACAGAAAAGCTCTTACAAAAGTTTATTATCCCTTAATATGCACCTTTCTTCTTTGAATTGTACATATTTAATTCACTTCGGAAACATTTGACCTTTATCTTAATGGACTCAAGTGGCTTTTAGTTGTGAACGTAAATGGAACACATTTGGATTAAAGTGAGAATGAATGAAGCAGCCTTTTGTCTGGAGTTAAGGTGATCAGAAGTATCTTCCTGATGCTCACTGCTGCGCTCCTTTGTGTGTGTGTGTGTTTACAGAGGGACATTTCATGGCATCCATCGTGTTCCTGTAATCCTGGATGATGCGGTGCTTTAACCCGATATCTGAGTTCGTTCCAATGAGTCATTAGATGGGTTTATTTTTTGCTGCTGTCAAACCTGTCCGTCCGGTTCAGTGTGTGAAATGACAGGCCAAACACTCTCGTGGGTTCAATAGATTAAAGGGAAATCATTAGGTTTATGTCTGCATTTTCTACTGTATGTAGTAGTTCAGACAGGATACTTTGCCAGATTTACCCATTTATTTGGGATCACATGAGTTGGGTGGCGACTCTGCTCAAGTGATGCTCTGGAACAATCTGAGCAAGCATGACACAGATAGTCCTGGGATCCAACCCCCCGGCGGAGCCTTGAATTTACAATTTTCAAATACAATATACAGCATAAACACAAGAGTCCCACGATATGGGAAGCACCCGGGGTTATTCGATTCAGTTTTATTTGTATAGCGCTGTTACAACATATGTCATCACATAGTGGTCAGGTGAAGACCTTGCAATTTAACCAGAGAACCCAGCAACCCAAGTTACTTTTGGACTCCCTCTGACCAAGTGGTTGGCAATCGCAGGAAGGAACCAAAACCCCACCAAGGAAGGAGGGGGGAACCTCCGGCAGAACCAGGCTCAGGAAGGCGGCCATCTGCCTCGACCAGCTGGGCGAGAATGATTGATTATTTAATAGACGGCTATGAATTGAACTTGTAGCAGGATAGTCCTGGGCTTGTAAGCCAATCGTGGCATATTAGTCGGACTATATAAGGTGGGTTATGGCCCTCTGCACGCTCTCTTCTCTTCTACTGAGGCCAAGGACACGCCCCTTCCGGTCGCGTCACTTCCGGTTCGTCACGGCTTCAAGCGTTCGCGGGAAACGAGCTGGTTGATCGCTCCGTGAATCCATTCAGATTCCTGCTGGTAGGCTTGTCTCTCCATTATAGCTTGCTTAGGATAGAATACTACATGTATGCTGAACTGCACACTGTGATTATAGGACACTGTGATTATCGGGCACTGCGGCAGTCTGAGCACTCTTGACGCTCCCCTGTAGGTGTGTGACCCGCTGTCTCCTGTAGGTATGTAGCTCGTGGTTGCTAACCACGCTAGCTTTCATGTGTGTTTTTAAACAAGTTTTCCTCTTGTCTTCTGCAGCGTTGGCTGGACTGGAGAGTCAGTGCAGCTCCGTGCCTCTGCTCACCACGCTGCTGCTTTGCTTCGTTCTCTTTGCTTCATTCTGCTTTGCTGGACTCTGCTTTGCTTTGCTTGGCTTTGACTTCGCCTCGCTGCTGTTTCACCGCGCTGTGTTCCTCACTGTAGCGGCTGGCCGCCCGGCTGGCCGCCCGGCTGGCCGCCCGGCTGGCCGCTGCTCTACTCCTAATAGCAGCTGGATTGTTTCGGTGTGGGTTGATTTCACCGTTTTATGGTCGAGCCTCAGAGGCTGTCTTTTAATTATACCCACAGTGTGATTGTTTCATTCATTTTGCTTTATTTTCTTCTGTTTATCCTTACGGTATATTTCTGTTAAATATTTAGTTGGGAGGATTCTTTATCAATTTTCAGTTTTGTGATTGTTTAGTTTTGGGGACTGTTTCTTGTTTAGTTTTTGTCAATTTTGAACCTGAATGTCCAAATTCTTTAGTTGTGCATTTCTTGAGTTGCAAATATATTCTTTTCTTCTGAATTTGTTTGTATAATTTGTTGTTTGTATAGTTGTTTTGTTTCTTTTTGTTTAGTAAACGGAGTATTCCCATTAATCCCCTTTCTCCCTGTTCTAGAGCTGAGCGCCACCGTGGTGGGCTGGTGCCGACGGTGGTGGGATCCCCGTTCCCGTGTGTTGTTGGAATCCTGGGTTTTTTTGTGTTTGATCCCTCACGTGTGTGTGTGTGTGGTTGTGTACATTCACCTGGTGACCGTCCCCTGGGACCCACTCCTTCCCCATCGACACTCCCTGGTGGTAAGCCCGCTCTGAACATTTCACTCCTTCCCCTTTTTATTAGTACAATTGTTTTTAGTGACATTTTATTGGAATAAAGATTCATCATTGTCTTATCACGGAACCACGTCTCTTGCCTCGTTGTGTACTGAACCTGTGTGCCTCTGAAGTAGCGACAGAGGTAGAACGAATCCTTGGGTGGCGTTGTCGGGAGTCGCTGAGCCGTCAGGTGAGTTTTCACCTGCTCTGACTCTAAGTGCCGTCACAAACTGTTTTTTAAACGGGAGGAGGATTGTTGTTGATCTGCAGAGGCTGGTGTAGCAGCGATGTGGTGAGCGTGAAGCAGGCAGAATGAATGAACCCTGCCTCAGTTATAAAGCACGCTAAGTGGGAGGCCTGGACTTAGGCAATAACCGATTGGACAGGATGGGCCTTGACGCCCTGACCCCGTGCCTGTCTGAACTAATGCCAAACTCTGTCTTGTGGGTTTTTTCTCCGGTTGTGTGCAGCTGCAATGACAACATTTTTGCATTTGGATCATTACATACAAACTTACTGTCATAATCGTTTACCTACAGAGGATCCAGTCTGTAAAACTGTCACGAGACTTTCAACATACCACTTCCATGTCACGTTTTAAGAGCACTGAGGTCCTATTTTGGAAACAGATCAACACATTGTAACCTGAATACCTCCAGTCGTGCCTTCGGGTGTTTAGTGGCCCAGATTTTAGGTGTGTGTACACAACAGGTTCTGGGGCACGTGTGTTTTATTGACTTGATTAAATTAAGGATTGCATTTTAACTAAAACTCGAATGTCAGTGTTTTCATCTCACAGAGAATCATAAATCCTCTATTTTCTTGTACAGAAAACGACCACAGGCCGACAACGTGGCCTCTCTTTCCTCTAAAGGGAAGAACAAACTGTAAAATGTAGAATAATGATGCCAATGTTCTTAAAATCTGAACACGTGTTTGTCTTTTGGTGGCTTCAATAAAAACCAAATGTGGTAAAAGTTTCAAGGGTAATTGGGTCAGTAATGTGTTTGGAGAAATCTGTACATGCTGTTCGCGTCGCCCCCTCACAGAGACGCAGGAAAATCCTCGACTTGACAAAATGTCCTTTGACCGCCGGTGATCATTTCCTCTGAGGTCTTTGTCCATCGCCAAATTAAGTTAACATAATCACATGAGCCAAATGGAGACAAACATTTTCCTTCACAAAATGTTTTGGACAAGTTGGAACCAGTGCATTCTCGATGACGAATTACATTTTGGATTTCTGGGAAGCAGTTTTTTTTTTTTTTTC